GTCCTGGGGCCATAAAAATATTGGAATATGGCTAGCCGGGATTGAAATTGGGCCACACTAGACCATGCACAATTGGGGTGGCCAACTAGGCTAGCCACCTACTATCAGGCGCATCTTAGCGCCACTAGCACCGCGTGTACTCGTGTGTTGTATGCGTGTTACTTGCACATTAACTGCGTGCCTGTGATACCCGTATGCTACCGATGCGCCTTTAGCATGAACGCCATCTGGCGCCTGCTCAGTTGTCCTAGGCGTCATTTGGCTCCATATTGGGGCACGTTTTGCACCTTCCCTACTTAAGTTTTTTTTTTTAATTTTTGTCTTCTTCCTTTCTTTGTTTGAAAAAAGAAATATATTTAAGATTATTTAAAAAAGCATTATTATTATTATTATTTTAAAAATTAATTTTAAAGAAAAATTTCTCTACTCTTTCTATAAAGATATTTTTCTCTTTTTTTTAAAGAGGTTTTTTTTTAGAACACTTATTATTATTTTTTAAGAGATCTCTCTCTCTCTAACTCTCTCTAACTCTCTCTTTGAAAAGTTTTTTTTCCTCTTTTTTTAAAAGCCATGTAACTACTTCATCAATGAAAGTTCGTGAAGGACCTGAAGGTTGTTAAACTTTAAGATCAAGCTCGAGACTAACTAAAGCAAAAAAGAAAATCTTTTTATCTTTTTAATAATATATTTAAAAAAAAAATTATCCCACAAGCGGAAGCAAATTAAATTCATAATTATCAGAAGTTTTTAATCACACTAAAACATAAATAAGTGTTGGAAATTAAAGGTGAAAAAAGATTAAAAAACGAACACATCAGATTTTATTAATGGTTCGATCAATCTGACATATGTCACTCTCCGGAGGCCCTCCCAGTATTGCACTAATCTTTTAGTGTCTCTCATTTGGCGCCCCATAGCTAGGCGGGGAAGCCCTTACAAAATTTCTCCAATTACTCGGTAGACAGAGTACTCGATTTTTTTCACCTCACTGGTGAAGGTAGATGGCCTGGATTCTTTTATCTCCTCTTAGAGTAGACAGAGAACTTGAATCTCTTTTACTCCCTCTTAGAGTAGGTAGAGAACATGAATCTAATGCTAAAGAATACTTCCCTAGAGCCACAAAGGAATCAAGAAAGCAGCTTGAAAAGATAATGGAAACCTTACTTATAGTAAACTTTGTGAATCTTTCACAACTCCCTCAAAAAGAATCTTTCCATTTATTCTCTCTCAAAGGTCTCTCTTCCTCTAAGCTCCCTCTCAAATAAATCAACAGTAAAAGATTTCCAATAAGAAATATATAGCTTAAAAAGAGCCTCCAAGAAGTTCTAAATTTCAATAATAGCGATTATGATCTACTAGTCCAATCGTGAGATCATCCTATACGATTAGTTCAAAACAACCCTTACACATAGTATGAACAATCATTGTCCTGCGACGTCATGTTCAAGTATTTGTATTGATCGTCCAGTCCAATTCTGCGGATCGTACGGTACAATTTGTTTTAAGTTACTATATTGATTGCTTGCACGGAATGCGGTGATGGGTGACGTTTTAAATATCGTTTCATAATCTATTTCGGTTTGTCCTGTATGATCGACTTGTATGATTAAAAAATCATGGTTTTCATCTTGGACGATGTGGGATGATCAAGTATCATCCCTGTATCCATCGATCGCTAGTATGATAGTCATCGTTCATCCTGTATAATTTGATCGAATAATTCAATCATAATTAGTCCCTAATCACATGATCAATTAGAATAATCTGCATAATATCATATTACGATGATTATTTATTGTACGATTATAACATAATTTAATATTAATATTTATGCGCTAAATTATGATTAGCGATTATTTTATTATAATTCATAGAATGATCGATAATCATGATATATATGGATTGTACAATATGATTAGTTAATACTCTTAATTAACAGATGTGCCCAATGAGGATATTTTATTTATTTTTAACTAGTCGTTTAGTACGATATACATTGTACTGTACGAATAGTTCAAAAACAAAAATTATCTAACTCACCAACTCACTCTCTTGAGTGTGTGTGTGCAAGGTTACTCGGCTCAGTGTCACCAATACATGATTTGACTCAAAAGAATAAAAGTATATTGAAATTTTAAATTACAGACAGACTCAACCCTAGTCTAACCAATACTTGAGCTAGATTAACGTTGCCAGTAAACTTATGAACCTGAAATGTTAGTGCATAGGACAACAAAAATAAATATGCAATATGACAGTGATAAAAAATAATATTTATTCACAAAATCATAATAAATTCGAGCAGAGATTTGCAACAATCAATTCATGAAACTCTCTTCCTTAAATGATTTCATTACACTTTCTTATTTAGGGTTATGAAACTCTTCTCCTCCCCATTCAATATAAATGCCCTTTCGTGGGAGTAGGGATTGGCATCCTCTCTCTTCCAATCCCTCTCTTGCTCTTCTTATTCTTTTTTAGAGGATATTCCCATACCTTGAATATGCACTATCTCATATCCAAGCGTCAGTGTCCTCTTTATATAGAAAAATTGCTCTTGCCCCTCGCATTCATTTTTATCTCATTTTTCTTCTTATATCAGAGATATTCCATTATCTTGAATAAAGGTATTTCCTATAACTCCAATACCAAAACCACTTATTGTATGCATAATTTTCCTCGTCCTCTTTTCTTGTTCTTACATTAGAGGCATTCATTGCCTTAAATTAGGTGGTATCCATATCAAGTTCCAGTGCCTTCTTTATTTAAAGAATTTTGTTGTTGCCCCCCTTTTTTCATCTTCTATTTTTCTTTCTTATATTAGCAGGTATTCCACTATCTTCAATAAGCTGGTATCCCCTATCAAACTCCAATACTCCTCTTGTAATAGAAGAAGTTTGTTCTCCATTTGCATAATTGTAAGAGATACACAATATTTCTTTATGGCAAAGCATTGGTCAATTATCTTGAAAGAGAGTTAGTTGACAAATTCATGGAGATTTTTTTTATTGTATTTGATGCTTTAAAATTTTCTCTCAATTAAGGCATATCATTAATAAATTATTGCAATGTTGGATATAGAAACAACATTGAATGAAAACACTTCAATTTATGAAATTTACCTTTTAGAATCATTGCATTATATGAGAAGCTGTATGTTGAATAATGATGTCAAATTGTACTATGATATATAACTTTGAAGATATTTATAGAGCTAGATTGTTGCTTTAATTGTATTTGAAGTAATAAATGCTCCATCTTTATTTATGATAGTTTCTGATTTTTTAACTTGCACCCTCAAAAAGAATTAAATTTTTTATGCATTTTTGAGATATACTGTTGAGATAATATCCACGCAGTTAAAGCAACATTGATACGGCATCAAACATTAGCTTGATGGGCACCGAATCGAAGGCAAAAGCTAGTTGGGAAACTTTCAAAAAATTAATCCAGAAGCACAGAATCCGATTTCAGCAGTCTACAATCAACATGGAGCGTCTCGTAATACCAAACCAACGACACCAAATTTCGACCCAATCCGAGTCCAAATGGGGTCCGAATCAAGACCCGAACGCGCTGTGGAAGGTTTAACCGCAAATTTGAGTTACTTAAAGCGGTCTTCAATTTTAAACGAGCTATACTTAGAATCGGAGAGGCTCGACGCAGACGGAATTCACACGGCCAAGATCTCGAATTACCAAACAATTCATTAAGCGCCTTCAAATGTCCAATAACGGTGCATTGATAAAGGTTCGATATCGGCCGTCCATTCAAACCACCCCCACATTCGCAATGATCTCACGCTATTTACGGGCTATGCCATCAGAAAAAAACTATAAATCAAACACCCTCATTCTACCAAAGGGGACTCAAGGGGAAGAGAGAGAAGAGAAAAGAAGAAGGATGAGAAGAGAAGTTCCTCCTCGACACCGTCGGAGCTCTTCTGCCGCCTGAAGGCCGGGAACTCTACCGGGATTTCCGGTAACGCCGGATTGCAGAACTTTAATATTTGTACTTGATTGATATTAATTATTAAGATTAATTTATTTATATCTACTATACAAGATTGATTATTATTAATTTTAATTTAAAAATTCTTTATGAATTATAATAAAATTAATTAAATCATATGTTTTATATGTTAATATAATAACTAATTATTAATTAATAAAAATAATAAAATAATAAAATAAAATACTTATTTAACATTTAAAAATGTAAATATCTGCATGATAAATTAAATTTTATTTTTATCCAGTAGCTCGATCTCTTTCCCAAATGATTTAATATTACAAGAAAAAAAGGCAAAATTAGAAAAGCTATTAAGAATGAAAAAGGAGTTTAGATTGGAATCACATGATTATAATTTATAAGGCATTCTTCTCTATTACTATAATTTATTTTCTCTTTGCTCTATGTGGGCCTATTTAGATGCATTTAGGATTTAATTTAAATAGGATTTCATAACTCCTTTAAATCCAGATTTATTAGATCATTAGCATGTTAAGTCTTGATAAATCTCATGAGACTACTTCATAATGCTATTCAAGATTTAAGGAAGTTAACTTATATAATATTTGTGTTTTAAACATAATTATTATAATTAGGATGTTATTTTAAGAAGTAATTTATTACTAACTTATTTGGACGTTATTTTAATAAGTATTTCAATATAATAATAATAATTATTATCTAATTAGTTATTTAATTACTGTTTGAAATAAGTAATCATTTTACTACTATTTACACAATTAATTATTTCAATAAAATTTTAAATATTATTTTAATAAAGTTTTAATTACCAATTATACTTATAATTATCTAATTAATATTTCAAATTTAAATTAATTATTTAATTAATATTTACATGGCCAATCGCCTAATTAATTATTTATATTGTCAAATTATATTAATTAAGGTAATTAAATTAACACCTAATTAAAAATTATGAATTAATCTAATTCTTCTCGACACCTTTATTAGCGGGCAGGTTAGCTTTCCATCGTCTCTATTCCTTCATCGTTGCTCGAAGTTCGAGTGAGGCAGAGATTCGAACGAGGCACTCGTCATCAGTTGTCTAGGGCTTGCTTTTCCTCTTCCATATTTCTTCGTTGTTGTTCTACTTCACGTGAAGTAGTGTTCTGAAAGAGTTGAAGCTTTTCCGCCTCCGACGACTAATCCTGTTGGATCGGAAGTCGCCACGGGAGCTCGCCGCGAAGGTAATGATGTTTCTCCCTTTAGCGCCATTCTTTCCCTAAATTTCGAAATCCGATAAAATATGGGATTTAGAGATTTTGGACAAAAATGTCGAAATTGCCATGAGGTGGGCTTTAGAATTATCGTGAGATTTTATGGGTTATTTGACAATAACTGTTTGGTATCAGATTTACGGGGGATTTAGGTAAATCATGTCAAACGGGTTTCTAGCGCTCCGTAAATCCCTATTCTCGGTAAATCCCAGATTTACGGCGTAAATTGGGATTTAGTAAATCCCTCTGTTCGGCCTGCTTCGCCTCAGCCTCTCGACCGCCGCCTCAACGTCTCCTTCTGCGATTCGTCTTCGTCCGCAGTCGCTGGGAGCAGGGTTTTCTCATTGCACGGGTAATGTGAAGAATTATGTTGATCTTAAAGGGTAGTTTAGATATAGAATTTATGCAGTTTTGATGAGTTTGTTCAAAACTCTACCCAACGAAGCAGGGGACAACGAAGAAACGGAGAAGAGCAAAAGCAAACCCTAGACAAGACTAATAAGGATATCCGAAGAATGACTTATTCTTAATTAAGAATATATCTAATTAGCTTAAATGATATAATTTGAAATATAAATAAATAATTAGATAGTTTGTAATGTGAATATTAATTAATTAATTCATTAGTAATAAAATATTTAATTGATGAATGAGATAATTAATAGTATAATTTTTATTAAAATAGCACTTAAGAATTCATTAAATAATTTTTAGCGTAAATAGTAGTTAAATAATAGTTAAATAATTACCAGTGTAATTAGTACTAAACTAGATTTATTATGTTGCATACACTTATCTTAAGTTTATAACTATCTTTTTAATATAATTCAACACGTTTTTTTCACATTTAAATATCTAATTGTCATAAATCCTAAAATATGTTACAAAACAATTTTTTAGGATTTAACAATTACTAAATTTAGATTTACAGGATATATTAAATCCCACTAAAGTTAAATCAACTTGTTGCCAAATAGCCACTACGATTTAATTTTAGTAGGATTTACTAAATCCAGATTAAATATGAATTTAGTAAATCCTAGGTATGTTAAAATTTTAAAACTCTTTTGCAAGATAGTTGTCTAAATCCTGTAAGATCGTTATCTAAACCTGTGAAATTGTTTGGCAATATAATCTAGGAATTAAGTCGGTTCGTTCATTTAAAAATTAAATTTAATATGCTTTGAATTTAATTTGTGTTAAATACAAGTGGCTAATTAATATTAATTTTAATTACTGCCAATAATTTATTGATGAATAATATAATTTGAAGCTTGGCTTGCTTAGTTACAAAATAATTTAATTAATAGTTTAATTATTAATTGTATTACTAATTATAAAAATACTTTAAGTGTTAATTCAATAAGTATTTAATATATAATTATATTAATAATTACCTTTTTTTTAAATAATTATTTATGAAACTTATACTCCACTAATAATTTTATTAATTATTTAAGTATTTTAATTAGCAATGTGTTGAAAGAATCGCTAAAGAAGCTTCTTTGCATCCCTCGATGACGTCGGATCGAAAGTCATGAGGAAAGCTCGCCCAGTGCAAAGGTAATCATTTTTGCCTCCTCCAAGACGGGAGCTTGCTTGCCATGGGAGAACTTGTCAAATCCGTAAGTCCAGTTAAATCTGCTGAACGATAGGATTTAGTAAATCCCGTATTTGTGCCGTAAATCTAAGATTTGCGATCTACTTAGATTTACTCCATGCTCTCAAACTTTTGACAAGATTTATGACAAATTAAGTGTAAATTTTGCTTAAATCCCACTACTTAACCCCTATGTCTCCCGTTTGGCAACATGTAGGATTTAACTTTATCAGGATTTATTAATTATAGTACTTTTTATTTTTTTATTAATTTTAGTACCAATTGTCAAATTACTTATTTAAGTAATAATTTAATAAGTATTTGATATTTAATTATATTGATAAGTAATAAATTAATTGTTAATTATTATTTTTTAAATAACTAATAATCATACTAACAAATTATACTCCTATCATTGTTGAATACCCAAATGCAAGTCTTATAATTTTCCTATTTAACTCATGAACACTTTTTTTATCATCTCCCTCATTTTTCCCCTTCAAAGTATTTGTGGCTTCAATCTTTAATCAAACTCCGAACCTTCATTTAATATGTTGACATTTCATGCTTTCATTTAGATATGACAAGTCCAAGAAAGTATGGAATAATAAATAAAGAGGAGGTCAAAGCATCCCCTCCATTCTAAGAGAATGATTCAAAGACTAATGATGGAGAATCTTTTCGATATGCATTTCCAACTTAGTGTATAGTTTAATATTTAATGCAAAATTTTATAACATAGCTCGAATGATCCTTGACTTTTGCATTGATATTGTTGTGCCTATATTGAATCCATATGCTAAAGCTATTGTTAAAGTACAAATTTCTACCTATCAACAACATGGGACCGCCATCCAAAAGTCGTGACTCTTTAATTATTATTGTTGAGAGGTGAGCAATTAGAGTTTGCATTAAGGCTTTAGAAAAGATTCTCCTTGTTTATGTAGATTGACACGTGTTTTACACAATTGTCATGTTGCCTGCTGCATAAGCATTCATCATTAAATTTCTTGATGCGGCATCACTCCTAAAGCTTAAATTATTGTAATTAGATTCATACAAATTGACTTATTCGGGCATTTGGTTGGGTTCAAGGCCATGGTAGCCCTTCGTACAATTTTAGATGCTTCATATGCTGAGTTTTTCCAACCACCCTTAAAGGATACAACCCTATAATGATTCTCTGTGCTATGCATAAAAAGCAACCTTGTTGGTAATGAGTTCCATAAGCAACTCATCCATAGTTATCTTATTCGTTAAAGCTATAAAAAATATGAGATTCTCTTCTACCTCAAATTGAGTGAGGGCGATTCCTTTGTAGCCTATACTACAGGTTTCATTAGAGAGACGTTGGATGTGCTAATCCAAATTCTTTGATGAATTATAAGTATTTTTATTTCAACTACAACACATTTTTTACAACTGCTTCACACTCAGATTGAGTGAATGAAATCATTGTTTTTTATAATTTATTTTTCCACTATAGTGAAACAAATGAGTCATTGATTCAGATTTTGCAAATGTTCATTTGTGTAAAAAAGGTTAACAAATTATGAGTGTATTGTTGTCCAATTTACACCAATTTGCTAAAGCATGATAGACAACCTTTTATGGATCTTTCTCAACATTCACCACTACCAATTTTATGCCTATTTCTTTTAAACTATACGTACTTCGTATGTTCATACCTGTTGCGCAATGATAAAGGATTTGTGTTATAATTTATGATAGGAATATGCATGATAGGTTGATTTTGATTTAGCAGACATCAATAAAATAATTGGAAGTTTGTTGGTAGTATTGTTATTGCAGTTTGATTCATCAAACTTAATTATGTCTCCTTTTATCTTAAGCATTGTTTTCATGTGTTTGTACAACGATATTTAGATCCTTTGAACGAATTTTATCTTTGAAATGCAGTGGAAAGGTCATGATGCGCTTTGATGTTGCTTCTCACATGTACATACTCATGCCTCTGGTAATCACTGCTTTCCTTTTAATATATTATTTTGTCTCCTCATAATGCTATTTATGTATTAAAAATCATTTATTTAAATATAAAATGTATACAATTGCTGAAATGTACTTTTCCTTGATTTTTTTAAAAAACTAAATTATGTATTCAGGTTATAATTGTTGCTGGTATTGGTGTTATTTCTACTTTGGTTTTCATAACTCAACATACTGAAGATCTCTTGGAGAGTGATTTTAGCGTTACAAAGATAATGTTAACAGACCATCTTCAAGAGCAAGCTCTTCACCTTTCTGAAGCAAATTTGTCAATTCACAATGTTGCAAGAATTATTGGTTCTACTTTTGATAAGAATTTGTCTTCGTCTTCTGCTATTGAGAACGAGGTAAAGTTTCAGCTGATAGTTTTATCTTAAATAAGTAGTGCTACTTTGAAAGATAAATTGATAAAACTCTTTTCAACTTTCAGGTTGCCTCATGTTTGTTCATGGCATTGAAGATAATTCGATTGGCATCACAAATTTCTTTTGTTAGGGCCAACAAAATTATCTTCTCTTATTTACTTGAAATAGATCAAACTCGGGTTGTATTCTTTGATACTTCATCCAAGTCGAACAATTCGACAGTGCATCAATGGTATAGTCAAAAGGTTGATAATTATGCAGGAAAACGATATGGTGCTATACATGTTGTTACCTCTATTCATTGGAATGACTCATTATGGTTTTCTGATGCATTGAGAGGCGTGAGCAGGAGTCCATCATATGGATATGGATGGGGATATGATCGAGATAAAATGTTCTTCTTTACTGCCCCAGTAGATAGATTTACTGTGATTGCTCTTGGAATTAAATTAAAAGATTTTATCAATTATTTATTTTCTACCAAGTTTCATGGTGCGCATGTTTTTGTGTTGACAAGAGATGGTTTGTATTTTTTAGACAGTAATAATAAAAACACTCTAAAGGCAATAAATGTGAATCTCAGCTTGCCAAAGAATGAAATAGTTGGTGAATCTTGTGATGGTATTATTAATGCACTTTTGTTTGCTCCTTCTTCAAGCACAAAACATTTGATGTCAAAGAAAGAAAAATTTATGTTTAGATGTGTGCCTATCCATCTTGCTGAAATCAAACTGGTATGTTATTCAATATTAAACACAGCATTTGGTTGTGCAAAATCTTTGTCCTTTGATATTCTTAAAGGATGTTGTTTTTTGTGTCTTATTTTCTAGAATTTCTTTGAGTATGATCTTTTTCTTCTTGCAGGTTATAGTAGTTGCATTTCCAGGGAAGAATTTTATGCTTTTATTGCAAAAAATGAAAGTTACGGTAGTCTTATTGTTGTCTTTTTTTATTCTAATTGCTATTATCGGCAGTTGTATATCTTCAAAGCTTTTTAGGAGATTACAAAGACAGAAGACATACACACTTGCTAATCTTATTAAACAAAAGGAGGCCACTCAACAAGCTGAGAGAAAAAGTATGAACAAAAGTATAGCATTTGCTAGTGCTAGTCATGATATGAGGGCATCTCTAGCGGGAATTACTGGATTACTTAGACTTTGCCATGATGATGTTCCTCCGGATTCTGATGTCGCTAGAAACTTAGTACAAATGGATCAGTGTGCATCAAAACTATTAGGTGAGTTATTAGATTATTTCATCATTTGATTTATTGAATTTCTTTAGATATTTTGTTCTTTGTCATGATCTTTTAACTTATTGTTTAGGAAAAAAAAGTACGCTATTGATTAGACTCTTATGCTATCATATTATCTTAAAAATAATAAAAGTTCCAAAGTTAAACAGATGATTTTAATGTGATAATAATTTTTTCCTAATAATTATGGTTATTCCATGTTCTTTATGGGTTTCAGGGATTTTGAATTCTGTTCTTGATACAAGTAAGGTCGAAGCAGGAAAGATGCAACTTGAAGACGTGGAATTTAATATGGCTCAGGCTATTGAAGAATCTGTTGATCTTTTCCATGTAGTTGCACTTGCTAAAGGGGTTGAGGTAATATGGGATCCATGTGATTTCTCTGTTTTGATGTCTTCAAATGTCAGAGGTGATTGTAGACGATTTAAACAAATTTTGGATAACCTCCTTAGCAATGCTGTAAAGTTTACATCAGAGGGTCATGTTATGGTGAGTGCTTGGGCTAAAAAGGCTCGCTCAAAAAACTCAGAGCTCACTTCAATCCAACAGAGCCAGTTTTCAAACATATCATCTTCTTTATCAAAATGGTTTTGCAATATTGGAGGTGTTTATTCAACAAAGAGACCTCATAACTCAATTATTTCTCGCGGTGAAGGTGACATGGAGTTTATTTTTGAAGTAGATGATACAGGCACCGGCATCCCAAAGGAAAAAAGATCTTCCATTTTTGAAAATTATGTTCAATTGAAAGACTCGAACTTAGGCTATGAGGGCACTGGTTTGGGGCTTGGAATAGTCCAATCCTATGTAATTACAAATATCCATTTCTACTTTAGTTTAATTTATTAATTTCAAGCAATATACTTTTTATTGTTGAAACATAATATACTTTCTATTGAACAATGTTTTTCAGTTCATTTCAATGATTTGATTATTTAATTTTATTTTTTACAGGTTCGATTGATGGATGGTGATATTGGCATTAAAGAAAAACAACCTGGCGAAAGAGGAAGTTGTTTTATATTTAATATTTTCTTGAAGTCTATTGATGTTTCTTCTAATAATACTGAAGAAGATTTCAACTCTTGCAAATTTCCAATACTGAATAGGTTGCATTCATTTTCCTCTAAAACAAGATCGAAGGTGCAATCAAGTATGCTTGCCATGGCAATGTCAGAAGGTGTTGTGGATGGGATACAATGCCTACTTGTAATTAATAGTGTTGAAACAAGAAGGATTTTGAAAGATTGGATGAGAAGCCTTGGTGTCATGGTCAGTGTAGCTCAACAACCAGAAAACATGTTTGTTGTTTTGAAGAAGATGATCCATAATTACAGTGCCTCTGAAAGCGATGATCCCAGTTTACCTTCTAGTGGTGACGATAATGAGTGTTCTTGTTCCAAGGATAAGAATAACCAAGTTTTGCCCCATAGCATAAAAGATGTCTCAAAGAAAGCAAGCTTTAAAGGTTCCTATAAGTATTTGTTAGTTATTATTGATTTGAGTTTTGAGAATTTCTCTGAAATGCATAACTTCATATCCTGGCTTCCTAAAAGCACTCATTTCTTTCATCAGTATAAAGTTATTTGTTTGACTGATTCAACTGCATCTTGTTCACAAATTCCATGTGATCTTATGCTATATAAACCCATTCATGGTTCACGTTTTTATAAGATTCTGGGACTTATGCAAGAATTCAGACAAAAAACTGAAGAACTGAAACCAGAGATTGCAGAAGAGTCCATTAAAACAAATGAGTTGGAGAAAAGAATTTTGTTGAATTCTGCATATACTCAACAAAATAATTTTGTGGTGTTTAAGGACGAGAGTGTGAAAGAACCTTTATGTGGCATGAATATATTATTGGTGGAAGATACACTTATATTACGTCAAATTGCCTTGAAACTGCTTTACCGTTCTGGTGCAAGTGTCAAATTTGTTGACAATGGATTAGAAGCTTTGAATGTGGTAAAAAAAGCTTTGAAAGAAACTAATCCTATTTCTGAAGGAAGAAGCTCAAGGCATTTACCATTTGATTTTATTTTGATGGATTGTCAGGTAATGAACAACCTTTGCAGTCTACACTCAAAAAATTCTTATTATATAACTTAATTTTATTAAGTATCACTTTTTTGTTATTACTATGGCAAGAAAAAATTTACATTGATTAAGAAAAATGGAAACTAGAAAAGTCTACTGAAAGCTATGTTTAATATGTTATAAATGCTAATGCACATCATGCCATTGCAATTGTGATTCTATATTAATATTAAATTTAGTTGTTATTGGTGTATGAATATTACTTTGATATATTGCTTAACAAGTTGATTATATTGAGCTATTTGTGACAATAATTGATATGATTATATCAGACAATCATTTTATATCTCTTTGGCATTTTAATTTGTATATATGTTTGCATGACTCTAGATATATGTATGCATGTGTAATGTGCCAATGAAGAAATTCATCATTTTATGGGTTTGTTTCATATGCCATTGTAATCCAAATGCTTTTTTGAAGCTATGTATTTAAAATAAATATTCTTATTTTCTGCTGTTTAAACTTTTATTTCCAATTGTAAAATCAAACATTTATGAATTTATTCTACTATTCAAGCATAACAAAGTGAAAATCTTGGTGGCATAGTATCATAGTATGCACAATTAAGAAATACGGAAAACACCTTAATTAATAACGAAGATACCAAATATCATTTTTAATGAAAATAGAAAATTATGTGTCCATTTTTCAATGCTTTAACCAATGCTGTTTAATTCTATTGGCAATGTGAAAACATTAATGAGTTCTTAAATAAATTTTCCTGAGTAAGATGGTTGTAGATTTTAAATATAATGCTATAAGATTTTTTATTTTATCCTTTTATTTTTAAAATTTATTGAATAAATATATAATTCCTCGAATTTCATATTCTCAATCATGTTTTGTTTGAATTTTTTTTTGGTGATGTGAACTTCTGCATCTGGGCTGTGAATATTCTTTTTAGAAATTGTTCTTGCATAAAACGTTATGTATGCTATAACACATACTAAAGTAAATCAGCATAAAATCTTATTAAATCCTGTTTTTTCTTCACAGAACTGTACTGTATAACCATTTTGTATCTCAAATTTCTTTTACAGATGCCAACTATGAATGGATTTGAAGCAACAAAATGCATACGCGCAGAAGAAAAGAAATATGGTATCCACATCCCTATCATTGCTCTAAGTGCTCATGCTGCATCTGATGAAACAAAGAAAACGCTTCTTTGTGGAATGGATTTTCACTTGACAAAGCCATTGGAGATCAACAAGTTGCTCGAAGCTATTAAGTTGATCTCTCAAAACTAAACTGGAATTTGGTAAATTTGTCATTGCTGAAAATGAGTTATATAAACAGGTAAAGTGGCGTATTTTTTTGATGATCATTTATTTACTATAATGCATCCATATCTTTACAATAGATATTGCTTTAATTTTAAATATTTATCTTGCATGACGGGATGCAATTATACAGTTTATCCTTAATAAGGGTTTTTTAACTAAGCACTTTTTTAGAGTTGATTAAGTTACTTAAAAGAACCAATACAGATAGATTTCTTATGCTAATATCTTTAAAGGCCCTATTCGTTGATTTGAATAATTGAGTTATTGTTTTTGAGCAATTTATTTGTATAGGTAGATTAAATAATCATTTTGTTCTTAATTAAAGAATTCGTTTAATGGTTTTTTTTTTCGTAAGTCCAATCCATAACTGTTATTCTTTTTTGGGTATAGTAGACTATTTTAAAAAAATTGTGTTTCTATTTTTTTTGTCAAATAAATAATTAAAAAATTTTATAATAAAATTTGATTGTGTGGGGAAACAAGAAAATCTATAAAATTATAAATCGAGCGTGCACATCATAAGTAAGATGAGATGAGTAAGAGAACACAAGATTCACTTTGCTTTATTCTTTTTAATGGTATGTTAAAATCATTAAACCTGTTTTAGATTCATAAGCAAACCCATCTATCAATATTCAAACTATTTTGAAGCACTCATTGCTTACAAACCACAATTCTCTCATCTTATTATCTTGAAGATTCAATGCATCTAGTGTGAAATTATTTACTATCTGTGGTGTTCGAATAAATGATCTTATAAATTCATGCAATAATACATTTACAAGTTTTGGTTGAAATGAATGAGGGTTTTGTTATTGCAATTAAATGTCTTAAAATTGGAAATTTAATTAGAGAATAATCATCATTCTCTTATAAGGAGAAGATCCATCTATTTAAATTTATACATATGTGCGTGATCACAGAGAGATAGACATAGAAAGAGCCAATTGTTAGTCAGTTTCATTTTTTTCCCATTAAAAGCAACTAAATTTTTCTTTAAAAATTATAAGTACATGATTGCAGGTTTATTAATTTCCTTTGCTTTCTTTTTTCATTGGAACATATAATATAGTTGAAGTGTTATTTCAACCAAATAATAATGCACATCACATCTTAGAAAAAATTCTCAAATGAGATTCATAGAGATTAATTATGCTAAACTCTCTTTAATTGAATATGAGTACTTGTGCTGTCAAGCAGTTGTGCTCTTCCTGTTTAGGTAGTTCAGATTAGCAATAAAAATAAGGTTACCTACTACTGTAGGACTAATATTATGGCATGTAAAGACTACAAAGCACAAAATAGAGAACGCTAGTTTTCTTCCATCCACTTTTTAATTCATGCGATAGTTCTTTGTTATAATCAAAATGGTAAACTTCACATTTATTTTGTACTTCTCACAGCCTAAATATTTTGCCTTTTGTACGACAACACTATCAAATGCCTCTGTGCTTGCTTTGACGATTGTTAATAAACTCGACATCATTGAAAAAGGAACTTGTTATATGCAAAAAAGGCTCAAACTTAATCTAGGTATCACTCAAAAGAATTTGTAAATTGAAAGAAAGTAAAAAAAAAACCCATCTATATGATTTGATGCCATGTGATTCCTTTCGGTATTCCAGACATTTTCCAGTTCCCTCTTCATCACGTTTGCGTGTTCAAACTGCATTTTCTGTGATCTGTGTAGCCAACTAATAAATGGCTTGCTTTCTGTTTGCGTGGCTTTTAGTTTTCCAGGATTTAACAGGTCCTGAGCCATAAAACAAAGAACATTTTAAATTATGTTTCCCTAATGGAGTACAAAGAAGGTTTTGTTGGTTGATGGTGGCATTATTGACAACCAGTTGAAGCTGGCAACAAGGAACTGCATTACGTGAATGTGCTTCCCTCAATTGTGAGTAAAATTTATATTCACGGCATCTAATGATTCAGCTACTTATATTTAAATTTTATATCAGATCCTGATATTACTAGTGTCAGGGTTTAAATGTCTACAGCATCCTTCAGCACGACACACTTGTGATGACAAGAAATGCAGTTGACAAGATTGTTACTCGTATGCACACACCCATCAATCGTTGACAGAAATTTTGAAGCCATATGGTTAGAAAACTAGAATCGAAAATTCTTTAGAGGTATTAAATGTTAGAAATTGATGCACACACTCGCACTACTGAAATATTTGTTTGTTCTTGAAGAATAAATCATTTTAGTGAAGTGTCGAGGCACTTATTTAATGGATTATGTTAGAAATTAATGCAATAGCATGCCAATCAAATGGATTAATGTTAAATATTTCTGCTTGTAAGACTGATTCCTATTGATTCAAGTGTTGTGGTATATATTTTAATGGATCATTTATAGCATGGAAGATCAGAAGCAGTGGAGTTTGAAATTCAATCAAATTTTATAATTACTGCAGCACACTGCATATCATTTGTGTACAAACTCATGATATGTATTCTTGACTGTGAATTGTATTATGATATTACTGATTGCTCAAAAATTAGGATAATTTTTTGTTTGGATTGAACTTGAGTTCAAATCCATGAGTCGGCATACAATTTAGGTTTATCTTCAATTGAACTTTGATATTGGATTGGATTATGTATGCATGTGCATGTAGTCAATGTATAAATTTATTTATTTATTTTTGCACATATGGATCATGTATACATACATGTAATATAGATATATATATTTATGCCGCAGTAAGAATATATTTTAGAAGATTAAAAATTGTCTGATAATTTGCTTATTTATAGTTCAAATTGAGTTAAAATTGAACTAGCATTTTTTAAACTAAAATCAAGATCAGAATGAGCCATTTTATGGCTATCTTGAAATAGAGCTGGATCAACATTTTGCTTTTATTAAATACTAAATAAGTTTGAACACATTAATATTTTCTTTGGCTTGTTTATATTAGTCTTTAACTCCTATTCAACCAGTTAATTAAATGACTTATTCTGAGTGTATCAAGAAACCATTTGCATGGCTTGTCATGATAGAGTAATGGAATGATAAAGATAAAACAGTTATGATAAAGATTGACAATAACAAGGAAGTCAAATTAGTACGCAGCAGGATTCTCCTTTTGGATTTTTACGTATAATAGAGACCAATAGGGAATCGCTTAGTACACGCACAAAGAGAGGATGCTAGGACCAGCCAAATAATAAAATGATAAAAAAAAGAAATGTCCTTAGAATGCCCTATTATACGAAGGTTCAAATGTATATAAAATTCTAATATATGAAGGCCATATAAATAAAATAGACTTGCAATAGGATTGTCATATTGTGCTGCAAGAGGTGGATTCGGTGCTGCATTAATTCCCTCGGCTAGGAAAAAACTTGCCCATAGAGATTAAGAATTGATATACTCATCTAGAAGGTTGGAGGGAAGGCTCAGGGGTTAAAAAAAAGAAGGATAAAACTCTTTAACTTGAGTTACTCGTTTGCAAGTTGTGATGAAGGAGCAAACACAAAGAAGAACAGAGCACAATCGACAAGGAAAACAAGGTACAGCGGTTCAACTGAGACACTTACTCCTATGGGTTTTCCTTTTGACACGAACTGAACCATTTCAAGCACAATATTATAACTTCTCTCATAAAGAGAACGTGGACTTGGTGGCCATTGTTGGAAGTGTGTCAAAATGAAATTGATGGGGACATCGACAAGAGGTTTCGACGCGTTTATCAGAGGCGACACATGAGATCGATGACCATGATGGATAGTCTTTACTTTTGATGCTTATTTGTATTAGCATTTTGTTTCAGTTTTTTCGTTTTTTCCCTTATGATTAGTTGGTCGCTATTGTAGCCCAAGGGGTATTCTAGTCTTTTGTGTTAGTTGTCATTTGGAAGCCTATATATATGGCTCTCTTCTCATGTATGAGGATTATTAATTATTGATGAATGAAAGTTTTTCTTGGTGATCTCTTTGTGAGTTCCAAAACTCCTATAGATCTCTTTGTGAGTTCTTGAGGAGAAAGCTATTAGATCTCTTTGTGAGTTCTAGGGGAAAGTGTAAGGTTCGTGATTCTTGATTTGCTTATCTTCTTCACCCAATCACTTCCTCTTCCACCTCAAGAGAAGACAACATAACCCTTGGCTTGAAGAATCCGACCCCCACCCCTTGCCGCCGCCCCTTGAAGCTCAAGCCGCCGCCGGCCATCCTACCACCGGCCAGCCACCTTGCCACCGACCCCCTCCTCCATCCGTCCACCACACCTCTTTTCTTTCCGCCATCCTTTTGAAATTTGAATTTCGAATTTCAAATTCTTTCCAAATTGGAAAGTCCAAATTAAGAAAGTTCTTTATGTTAAATCCAATTTAAAACTAAATCAAATTGGATTTAATAATTGTCTTTCCCAGTCATCATTACGCATTTGGAAACCCCCTACCTTTCTCCCCCAATCTCCTCCTCATCCTTGAAGCCGCCGGCCCCCTTATTGAGGATTTCCATTGATTGCAATCAATGCCCCTCTCCCTTATTTGAAATCTGAAATTGATTTCAAGAAAACTTCCCTCCAATTTCACTTAAAATTGTAATTGATTTCAGTTTTCTCCACAAACCCTTCTCCCCTCCTCTCTCTATGCCGCCGGCCCCCATGCATGGGCAAAATCCCTCTCTTGCCAAATTAACCCTCACCCTCATTTAAGTTTAAAATTGAACTTCAAACTTCTCCCTCCAAAACCACTTAAAATCTGAACTTAAATTCAGATTTATTGAGAAGCCCTAAGTTTTCTCTAACCCTAGCCTCCCCCTCTCACTCAAATCCTCCAAGCAAGCCACCACCTCTCCTCTCTTGGGTTTCTAATCGTGATCTCTCATCCACATGCAAATCATGTATGGCGGATCCCGAAGTTGACCAAGGTCTCTTGTTCGACGTCTATGGAGACATCCACATCGTTCGTTCACCATTCTTCGACGTCGTGTTTGGTTTGATGACACCGTTGAAGAGTATTTGAACCGAATCCTTCCTACCCTAGTGGACGTCATCGACGATTAATTCTCGGACTACGAGTGGACCATCAACGGTCATCCACCCGTGCCACCTCCACCTCCGACTACCTTCCCAACAACGATGTTCCTCGGCTCGTCCGTCCTAGTGGCTACCTCATTTCTATTGTGGACGATCTTCTTCCGCTCAACCTAGATTCGTAGGGAAGAGAGTAGATCCTCAAGGTGAACAACTCCCTATTAACTTTTGGATTTGTGTGTTAAGCTCTTACATTACTTTGCCTTTGTATTTGATTAAATTGTCTTGGTTAATTTTCATACAACTCTTTGCCTAAGCAAGTGGAATACTGAGAACTCTTGTAGCTAACTTGGAATTGACGCATAATTTTATAACGGTTGAACTTTTAGTAAATTCTCTTTATAATCTTGTGTAACTCCAATCTTGTATCACATCAGAACTTTTATGAGATTCGAGGATCAAACCTGATCGAGAATGAAAAAGAAAGTAAGGTCCGTATGCTATGAGATGATCTTGTCAATATCGCTTCAATAATCTTATTGACTTAAACTGAGTGAAGCTTGACAAAGACTGTTTGAGTATTCTATCAGTTGAGCGGACTTCAAGACGATCAAGTTTATGCAGTGGCCAAAAAGTTCTGCTTCATGTCATGTTGCATCTTCAAAACCCGGTCAAAATATTATTAGCTGGACAAAGCAACCAAGTTAAGAATTCAAGGATTTTGTAACACGCTTGGTAAAATTTGGGATGAAGGTGACTGTTGAGAAGGTTGTTATGAAGGTGGCAATGGAGGCAACTGTAGCAAATGAGGCCACAATGATTGTGATAGAAAAGGTGGCTGTTGTGGATGAAGAGATTGCGATGAAAGTGTCAGAAGCAACCATAATGGAGGTGATAATGGAGACCTTATGACGAAGAAGCGGAAATGGATAAGTATAAGGAGATGAAGGTGGCTAAAGACTTCACCAAGGTAACGAACGCCAAAATAGAGGCGCTAATGAAGAAAAAAGTGATACTTGGAATAGATACGAAGGTTGAGAGGTTTTTCTTGAGAAGATGCTACTTCATTCATAGCAGAACATTCTTATGGGAATGAAAGCAATGCTAAAGCATATGCCATATGTTCATAGTACCTCTATTTGCGCTGTACCTATTGCTTGTTGTAACTATTACATTCATTTATTGTTTGGGTAGCCTTGCTGTTGTGGTTTGGTTATTTGCTAATTATGTAGGAGTTGTGACCAGATGAGAAATTACTTGTTTAGCAACATAAGATTTGTTTTATCCCTCATTTCTGCCACATATTTAAGTTTTTGGAGGATATTAAAGTTTGAGCTTTTAAGCTTATCTGAAATTGAACCGAGGTAATCTTATGTCAACCATATCTATTAATCTAAGGATGAGTAGTCTATAAATAATTGATTTGAGATATTAATTTAGAACTTTTTATGGAATAAAATTTCTCATTATATTTTTTAAGTTTGTGTGGAAGTTGATCCCTTATTTTGTTTTTGGGTATATGGTCCTTGGGTAAAACACAGACCATTGTTTTGATTGTCATGCATGAGTAATTTAGTGTGAGATGTATATTTGCATTACTTTGGTTAAAAACTTAAAATGTGGGTCATATAAGGAATTGAGGATTTCGTTGTCCCACATGCACACATTCGTGCTTCCACACAAAAATAGTGTCTTCTTAGCTGTGATAATATGGAAATCTAGGCATTTCCTAAGTTGCATTAATCCAATTATTTATATCATGATTTAAAATTGTACAATTAGAGGTCCTCCTCAACACAATTTGAAAAAAAGGTAATGAGGTGCGTGCCTCTTGCTCACAATACGAAGCTTATGCCTCAATGGGGATGAGGTGCTATTCAAGATATGCCACAACTCAATTTTGAAGAGGCATAAGCCTAAAAAATTAGAGTTTAAGAAATTTTAAAATTTAATTTATTTTATATATTAAATTAAACCTATTTGCTATACTCAAATCAAGTCAAATTTGAGAAGAACCACACGACCTCAAATTTGTAGTGGCAAGACCCTCAGACCCACACCCTATCCTCTTGCATTACCATCGTTGCTACGCCATCGCCGTTGTTACCCCTTCATTAATTATGTTCCATCACCTCTCCTTCTGTTGTGGTAAACTTTCTTTCTTCTTTTTTAGTACGAGAGAAGACATAAAGCAATTATCTACAATATATTTTCTCTCTAAATGGTGAGAGTAGATGAGATTTTTGAATTTATGAATTATGAACGTAGGGGAGACTTTTGAGTGGGAGAGTCTATTTATTTAGCATTGTTTGTAGCCTTAGCCTTATATAATTTTTAATGGCCTTTGACTTTTTATAATTTTATTTTAGTATTTACTTTTGATGTTAATTTGTGGCTTGTTATTTTTTTCCTTAATTTAATGATTTAATATTGAGGCTTATGCCTCAAAACCCCTCTAGGCTTTGGCCTCGCATCACGAAAAAAAAAAAATGCTTTAATACCCAATTGGGCAATTTCAAACCTTGATTGGGATTATGGCTTCCACAATCTCAATTCCAGTTTCACCAAACAATCTAATATGTTATTCATCATTTAGATATCCTGTTGGGGATGTGAAAGTAAACCACAAAATGAAATAAATAAGAAAAAAATGCAGCGGAAAGTAAAGGAGGCTAGGATTTAACATGGAAAAACCAAATATTGGAGAAAAAACACACTGATCCACACCACACCCAGAAATCTACTATGAAAATTGAGAAAAATAAGTATATATCTCTTCTCTCTCACTCTCTCCATCTATTCTCTGTTACACCATTCTCACAAACTAAACAAAGTAGAAAAGCATCTATTTACCACCAAGGGATGCCACCCTTGAGAAAAACAAGAAAGAAAAACTGTCTAGTTCGCCTCAAAATTGATAACATCAAAAATATAAGCTCCCGATCGTAGCCGTCGATCTACGATTCTTTCGCCGATAAACCTGCCTAAAATGTCTGTCGATGACCTCATCAGTTGCGGCGCTCAACACTTTGTTTTCAGTTTGCCTGATAGCGCTACGACATTAAATTTAGAGTGTTGCGGTACTCCGCTCTCTGTCTTTTCTCCTAACAGACTTTTGCAGCGCTAGGGCGCTCGGGTACATAGCTTCGCGCAACCCCAGCGAGCACAAAAAATTAACTTGAGGTCCAAGATAACAATATAATCCGATTGATCGACTCAATTAGATTCTACACAAAATAACATATTCTACTTGTTATTTAATTAAAAGAAGAACATGAGATACCCTTCAAGTAAATTAAAGTGGTTATAGCCATAAGTTGAATTTTCTCTGCTATTTCTTCGGCAATATTAGGCCATTCAAGAATTCCTTGCATAAGTAAATAATAACCATATCCTATCTCAGGCAAAGAGAGAAAAATATAAAAGTAAAATGCGTTGAGGAACTTACTTTGAAGGAAATTAGCAAAATAAAATTTCCATATACTACAACAGAATGTGGAGACTCCAAAATAGACAGACCACATTACAATAATGCTAACCTTGTTGGGTGTTTACACGATGTTAAATACTTGAAAATACTAATATAAAAACAATTATAACTGCTATAATTAATTCTATGGTTAATACATCTGCTTGAGACCTAATTATGCTTCTTATCACTCCCTTTTGTCTACATTGTAGAGGATTTTGACAGCCCTAGGATTACGTAGAATTTTGGTAGGGGTTTGAATATCTTGAGAAATTGCATGACATTGCCTTTGCACTCTTCAATATATAGACTTGATCTCTTCAATGTGCTCACAACTTTTAACGTTTCATATAACTATTAAAAATTATTCAGAACATGTAAATTGGTCCAACCATAGTGTACTTGCCACAATAATCATTGAGATAGAATTTGAGGTAAGGTGTTGACAAATCCTGGATTTAAGATTATTCAATTTATTACTACTTGATGAGAGCAAAAATTTGGGGCTTCCTTGGATAAGAAAATATAGAAAATACTAAAAAAGACACATTTTTATATCATACTGGACGCTTACAACTCTTGACTTACAAATGACACACAAACAAACATAAACTCCTAAAACTGCTTTGCCTTTGCTTTGAGAAGAAAGGTACTGATGGCGTCGGACTTGCGGATAGAAGAAGGAGATTAGGAGCCGAGACGAAACAGGAATAACTCGCAAGTTATCCTAAAGGAGAAGAAGAGGAGAGGTGGAACAAGCTCGCAAGCTTTTCCAACAAAACCCGCAGGTTTCTATTCCAAAAATCTAATTATAAGCAACCTCTTTAACATCCCAAAACATCTTGATTTTATAGGCAAAAGAGAGGAACCAAACAACCATAACACCTCCAACCAAACCAATTAGATTTAGGGAAATGAAAGGCCAACAGTGACAACACAATAACCCCAAACAGGTACAGGAAATAGAGAAAAGAAGGCCACGGGACACCCAGCAGGCAGCCACGGGAAACCCAGCCAGCAAGCGACTCGAGGAGCTAGCACAGAGAACGGAACAACAGCACGGGAAAACAGTTAGGGGCCACGGGAACAGCAACAGCCAAGTGGAAACCGAAGAGACAAAGGGTAAGGGGAAGAGAACCAGTCGGGGGGGAAGAACCAAGGAGGTGGAAATCAAGGAGCCAAAGTAAGAAACCAAAGAGACAAAAGTAAAGGGGAATGAACCAAATAAAGATAATTTATGAGCTGAATTAAGTAGTAAGAAAGCATTTATGAGCTAGAACCACTTAATTCCCAAAATTTCAGCTCAAAACCAAAACATCCAAGGACCAAACCGAGAGACAACAAGTAGCCCAAAAAACAAAATATTCATTTTATTTTGACTCCCCCCCTTGCCTACATCACTACTTCACAAGTGGATTTTGAAATCCTTATATATAATCATCCTTCTTTACCTGGTACTATTATTAATGAAGAGAACTTAAAATCATCTTCTGGTTATTTAACACTTTCTACTTGCTCATTTTTCATCAAACGTCGTTCTGTAACATCAAACTCAAGTTTTAGAATAATAAGTGGATTACGAGTTCTTTATTGAGAGCCAAACTTTCTTCTTCTTTTAAGTTTTAGCTTTGAATGGTAGCTGTGCTGTTTGATCTGATTTTGATTAGTTATATATTTTGATTGATTCTTTAGCTTTTTTCAAGATAATGTAGTTGGATGGCTCAGAATATTCCTTTTTAGTTAAATATTTATTTATCTGATTCTTATTGATGGTGTGAATGTTATCTTATGCACGCTACTATTTGTAACTCGTTTATTCTTAGTAAACTGTCATTTTTTGGAGATAAATTATTCTGTGCAGACACCAGACTGTTCGGAGGCGAATTAGAAAATGCCACATTACCCGGTACACAACGGCACACAACAAAAAAGTGACGTAGCGCGTTTTGATTCGCCTCCGGAAGGCGTCCGTATCCGCACAAAATAATTTGTCCATTTATTTTTTTTGATAATATTTCATTGTGAGTTGCTTTGCCTAACTTTGTTCTGTTAGCTAATATTTCAGTGCTTTGTACAGATATTGGTGAGTGACAAGGCACACATATATGTTGCATGCAAGATTCTTATTCAATATCTTCTCAATAACTTTCAAGATCTTTCTTAACTAAGCTACTTAGCACCAATATTTTTTATTTTATTTTGGTGTACAATGTAATAGATTGGACTCTATATGTGGTACTGATCTTGAAGAAGATTTTCTTCTGTTTTTTAATATTATTTTACCTTCAAATAGTGGCAGACCCCCACTTTAGAAGCAAGAAAATTTTTTTGTAGCTGAAACTCCTACTCTTGGTGATAAATGTTAAAGAAATGGTGTGTTTCCACTTTCCTCATTCCCAGAGATGCTTTCTGTAATATGTGTTTTTTTTTTTTTTTGGGCTACACTGAGGTCTATATATGGTTTGGAGTAAGAGAAACCAAAGATTTTCAATAACAAAAGCAGAACTGATAGTTCTTTCACCATAAAATGATTCTGTGTGGATGTTGAACGTCGTTTAGAGACCTATCAGAATGCACCACGTCGCTGATTTACTGTACCGCAGCTTGGCACTGCTTGATATCTCGGCTCGGTACCGCTCGGTACTACGGCATCCGGACGTACAACTGCGTCCGGCGTCCGCACAGAATAATTTCTTTTCACCACCACTGTTGTTTGTCAACTATTATTATGTTTGATTCATATCTGTAAAGTTCTCTGCTTTCTTTTGATTAGTTCATCTTATTTTGGTTTCCACCTTTCATATATAAATTAAAATTTTTATATCAAAAAACATCTTTCAGAATCAGATTTTAATTTTTTAACTAAAAAGTTGTTTTAACAAGCAGGAAGAAAGCTGTATCAAATGAAGCCTAAGTATAGCAAAGAAATTTTTTTATAAAATATATCTCTAATATAAATGGATTTCTTATAATAACTAACTATCTTTGATCATATTATCCATTTAAAACTCTCACAATTATTATTCAGATCTCAACAGTTATGTAAAAGAAATGTATGATTGTTAACAATTTTAACTAAAAAAAAGATATATGAATATAGCTTAAATCCTTTCTAAATATTTTTTTTTTTCTTTGCTTGGATTGAAGCCTGAAATGGAAGATTATGAACATAAACCAATAATCTTTATCCAGCTAATTATAATTATTATGCGTCTATATTCTTCTTTTTCTAATAATTTTGTTTGTGATTGATTCTGAGGTTCAAATTATTAAATCCTTTTGAAGGTCAACATACAAAGGTTAACAATTTGTCTCTTTTTATAGGAACTTTTCCTTCTTCTTTAACTAATCTTCTGAACCATTCTCCGTTCAATTAACTAAAGAGATTATTGCTAAGTCTACCATGTCAATATCTTCCCAAATAAGACGCAGAAAACTCATATGAGAAAGGACAAAAATATATTGGAATAAGTCTCATAACATTTTTTCCTCAGAGTCATCTTCTTATCTTCTTATCTCTTACCTGTGTATGATCAAAAGCCCCAAATCCCTCCTCTTGACCGCATGGATCAGAATTCCTCCATCGCCATGGATTCAAACAAGCTTTTCAGCATCATTTCAGTCCTAAGAGAAGCCATTTACCTCCCCACAAAGAACAAGAAGCTCATACTCTCTTCCATATTTCTATGCTTGTTCCCAAATTCTCTCCTCTTGATAAGCAACTACATATCCATCTACCCTCTTCTCCTCAACTTCCTCATGAAATTATATCTCATCACCAAAGAATATCCCACCACACCGCAATTCTTCGATGCGATCATTGGGCTAAGAAATGATGCAGAAGGTTTTGTTAAAGTCCACGTCTTCTTTGTTATATTCTCTTACATAGTATCAACCATCTCCATGATGATGATTGTTCATTCATCGCTATTAGTTTATTCTGGCAAGCAATCGAGTCTTACTGATGTGTATTTAAGGTTAAAGTTGACTTGGGTTCCTGTGTTGATCACTTGTTTGTACTCTTCTATGCTGTATATTGGCTATACGGTTCTATCAATATGTTTAATCGCTGTTCCGATGCTCGGTGCGAATGGTTCGGTAGTTTCTATCATGGTCGGCGGATTGTTTGCGATGTTGGGTAGGCTACTATCTGTGTATCTCGCAATGATTTGGATGGTGGGAGTGGTGGTTTCGGTGGCAGAAGAAAGTTGTTTTGGTTTAGAGGCTTTGTGGAGAGGAGGGGAGATTGTGAAGGGGAGAAGACTCCAAGGTTTTCTCATTGCTTTGATGTTGTTGTTGGCTGATGGAATGTTCACAGGAGGCTATGGCTTTGTTGGGGCAAAAAATGCCACTGGATTTATTCTTGTCAATGTTTTGGTGTTGATGAAGATGTTTTCTTATATGGTTTATACTGTCTTTTACTGTGAGTGTAGGAAAGAAGTTTCTTATGCAAGAGTTGTTGTTGGTCATAATGAGGAGTTGCTGCCTTGATAATGATTTTTAGTCTTATTATTTGAGAGTATTTGTGTTCTCATTTTGTTTTGAGAAAGCAAAAGTTTTTCAGGCAATTGCTTGATAATAAAACATTTCTAATTACTTAGATTTTTTTTTCATTAATATTGCAATGTTGATGATATTTGGGATTTTCAGGCAACTGGATGATAATAAATATTCCAAGAAGATTCATCATCAAATTATCGTATACATCAATTTTTACGAAAATTTTTCGAAGTTTGTAGTCAAATCATACAATTTGGGCTCGTGTGGGCGGCCATTCAGGTCAACCAAATCCTTTAATATATCTCAAAATCGGCACTTGACATAAAAAATCATAATTCAATATATAAAAATTTTTATGATTCTAAATAGAAAGACAATATTTTTTACTCCATGGGATGAAGGATTCAAATTGGAAAGAACTTTATTTTTCCATGGCAAAATTTGAGGTGCTTTTCATTTGAATTTAGGCTTCTGTTTGTAACAGTTTTCTTAGTGCTTTCTAAAGCGAGTTTTTAGTTCAAAATTTTTTATTTCAGAAAATTTTTGAACTAAAGTTGATTTAAAAAATAATAAGAAAACTGTCACAAATGAAGCCTAAAGCTTCGAATAAAAGAACAAGAACTCATGTAAAATTCATTAAACTTTTATTGATATTCAAGAACAAATAAAAAAAGTCAAAAAAAAAAAAAAAAAAAAAAAAAAAAAAAAAAAAAAAAAAAAAAAAGCTTTCTATATAAAATAAATTGATGATCTCAATGGTACTCTTATCTTAACATCTGAGTTGTTAAAAAGAATAGGTATAAATTTTCCTCATAATGCCATATGTTGTATTTATATAACAGGGCTATTATAAAAATAGGAAATTTGAGCAAAATTAAGCTACACAAAAGGCCACAAAAAATGCCAAATTTTTTTATTTATCTCTCTTTCTTACATTTGGCCAGCCAAATAATAAACCCTAATATTTTAATTAATCTCATTGGGATTGCCGGCTAAAGTTGCAATCTTAGGGATTAAATTAACATTTTACATTATTATTTGAAGGAGCATGATATTGTGTGGAAATAGGATAGAGGATATTTATAAAAAATTAAATTGTTTATAGTAGAAATTTTATCATCCTATATGAATTTAAACTTTAGCTCAAATTTATAATTTTTTAAATTTTTTTTTAACATTTTTCTTCAAACCTATCAAGACAAATTAATTTTCATTTAATATCTTTTTTACATTAATAATTTTTAATCTTATTTATTATACTTTTATTATACAAGAAAAAATTAAAATTTTCATTTACATATCAAATATAATATTTAATTATCAAAATTATCCAAAAACATCCTCTCTTTTTTAATATATTTCTCATCTCTTTTTTATATGTGGCTTGGGCTAATCTTCTAAACAAGTGATTGATTACTAATTATCATAAAGATTATATTATTTATGTTTAAAATACTATAGTATTGAAAGTTGACTAAAAGATTTGTTATTTATGTTTTAGAATACTTCTCAAAATGAATGATGAGCCACACCTCTAATATGAGTATATTGTTTCTAGGATGATAAATAAGGATAAATTGTTGATTATGAGTGTCAGATACCCCATCTCTAAGGATTTGAGAGTTCATATATTTGAGAAATTTGATCATAAAATAAGCTTATTGCTTAGTATTTTAGGGACATAAACGAGGAAATTCGTAAAACTCCTATTATTTTGATGATCCTTTTGATATTGAAGTTAGGGTTTCATACTCAGTTTGTAGTCATTATTGGGTCTTGATGCGTGTAGATAAGGTCTTGGCCGAACTCAATGAAAGTGATACAGTTGACATCTTAATAACGAGTGCAGACCAATGCTAATAAAGCCAGCTAATACTGATCGATGTAAGATTAAAAATGAACTAACCTAATTTTTAAAAAGAACTGTACAAGCGGAAAGAGAATGAATATTATATAGAAGACCAACAAGAATAGTCTATATTGTCAATCTTCTTAGTTAGCCTTCTCCAAAGATGATAAAATAAGATAAATCTTTTGGCAAACCTTCACTATGAACATGAAAATGTTCTTGATGTTTTATTCAAATAAAATGGACATAAGCTGAAAGATCATTGAAAATTTATAAATAAAAAAAAAATATAGTAAAATACTTGCAAGAACTAGAGTTAAATATAGGGGTTGAATAACAATGAAACATCCAACACATCATAAAAATTTTAAATTAACTAGAATCTATTTGCAATGATTATGGTCATGTAGCAAATTAGGTGGGTTTGTCTTCAAATATATTTAGCTATGTTGGGATTGGCCATAAAATTTGACAAAAATTAAGACATTAATCAACTCATAATATCATGCATTAAACCACTACTCTCTCACAACTATATTATTTTTAGATTTTTGTTGGGACAGCTTTCTCGTTACTTTCTAAAATAGCTTTCTGGTATAAAATTTATAATTCAAGAAAATTTTTAACCAAAAAGCTGTTTTAGAAAACGTTAAGAAAATTGTCCCGAACGAAGCTTGGGACGACTTTTTTACTACTTTGTAAAGTCACCTTTTAGTACAAAAATATCTTAAAACATGAAAAAAAAAAAGTTGTCTAAAATTGTCTAAAAAATACCTTAGTTAGGTATAATTTAAGATTCTAACTAATCAATATATAAGAGATTAATCAAATCTTTTAAAACTATGCTTTCATTTTTATGGGCAATTTACTATTCAAAATTAGTGCTAGAAAAAATTATTATTTACTCACAAAGCTCCTCTTACAAAAATTAAGAACTCGATTTTATGCTCAATTAAATAAAACTAACAAATTTCTCACTCAAAAGTTTTTTAAATAAAAAATTAAGAAAACTAATTTCAATTTTTGTTTTAAGGATATTTTTAGTGCCCCCCCTAAATATTATTATTTTGTCTTTTCATTTTAAATCCTAGTTTTCACTTGAGTTAATTTGCTATTGCTTGAAATTAAATAAAAAATAGAACATATTTTTTAATAAAAAAATTAATTTTTATTTAATAAAAACTAATTTTAATTTAATTTCTCTTCTTCTTTTAGTTATGTTAAGTGCCAATACATAAATCTGATATAGGCAATTTTCAAATCAATATCTATACAATAAATTTTAAATTTTTAATAAGCTAAACTAATGTTTTGTTTGGATTGGTTGCAGTGTTTTCTAAAGTTGGTTGCGAAGTTCTTGTAGAGAAAACAACTTTAGTATTATGATTATAGAAAACGGCTTTAAACAATAGATATCTATGAAAAATAGCGATAAAACAATAAGAAAGTAGTAGCCAAGCGAAACTGTGATTGCTGTTTGAAAAGCAAAGCAGTCGAAAAACTATCACAAACAAACCCTAAGTGACTATATTTCATCCATAATCCTATGTGGACAACCCCATCCCATTGCACCACTTTCAACCCTAAAACCCACAACCCCCTAGATTTCATCCATAATCCTATGTGGACAACCCCATCCCATTGCACCACTTTCGTCATCTCCAAGTTGACCTTGCATCAGGATTAAGTGAATTGAGTTAACTTACGAGGCAGCTCATGAGTAGGCCTGAACTTAACTTATTAATAAGCCCATGAGTGGAGTTTAGATTATAGCTTATATATTAATACAAGCTAAAGTTTGAGCTTGCCTTGACTCGGCTCATTAGCTCACTAGCTAGTCCATCTCTCCTAAGTTTTACATTAAATGTTGATTCTCTACCTTTTCATGTTAAATCGGTTTGACCCGGAACCCTAAACATAAACCTACATGTCTCACTAAATATGCTTCTTCAATCGCCGGCGAGGTCATTGATGCATTCTCTAATGAGGTCCCATTATAATGCTTTTACAGTAGCACCAATGCCTTCCCCAATTAGCTCTACGTGCAAATGTACAATGCCTTCACCATGAACTATCGTTAACTTCTCTAGCGAGCTCCCATCACGATGCCTTCTCCACCAAGCTCTCACCATCGCTCCATGACGATTTCAAGGATTTAGAGGGCTTCAACGTCGTTGGCTCTCAAACCCGCAAACCGCGATTAGTCTAGTCCTCACAGACCTCTCTTGATGGCCCGAGTCGCCCCGCCCTAGCCTCGCCCTGCACATTGGCTTTGCCCAAGTTGGAGTTGACGGACGCCGCACGTTAGGTTTGAATTTTACTAACGGGTCTCAGGTTGGATCAAGTCACCCCTGTAACCAACGAGGGTCGGGTCCGGGTTGGAAATCCTGGCCAGTTGTAAAATCAGGTTGGATTCGAGTTGACCTGTTTAGACCAGGGTCAATTTAGATTAGATCCAAACCCGACCCGCCAATCCGTTTTGACATTCCTATCAAAAATTTTATTTTCAGTTATTTTTTTAATGATTTATCGCCCATTACTTAATAAATTATAATAATAATAAGGGCGTGAGAATGTTTTCTTTGCCGTGTTGGCTCGGCGTAATTATATATATATATATTCATCAGCTTTATGCCTACGCTGTTCTCACAGTTTGCTCTTCTTCGGTCTCGGCAAAACCTACGATCTCCCTCCCAACTTCTCTCTCTCTCTCGAACCTCTCTCTTTCGAACCTCTCTCTCTCTCTCTCTCTCTCTCTGCGGGAATGGGCGGTTCCCACAGTCGCGAGGGTTTGGAGCTCTCCGATTCCGACACCGAGGAAGAAGAAGACGAGTCGGAAACGGAAGAAGAAGAGTCTCCGGTGTCGAGCGCCACCCCCACCGGGCGTAGCCCAGCCGGAACTCTGAAGCCAGGTACCGCCGTATCTGTAGACGATGTGGACTCGAAGCTGCAGTCTCTTAAGCTAAAATACTCGAATTCCCCCTCATCGATCACCCCAACCAAAAACCCTAATATCAAGAACGCAGTCAAGCTCTACCTCCACATAGGCGGCAGCTTGCCGTCTGCAAAGTGGATTATATCCGAGAAGTTGGTAATTTATTCGTTTGTCAAGTCTTCCTCCTACCCGTACACCTCTTCGCACGATGGAAACTTGGATGTTGAGGACGTGGAGGAGGAACGGGATGGCTCTTCCTCTCCTTGGTTCTTAAAGATTGGGTCCAAGGTGCGGGTTGAGGTTGGGCCTGGAATGCAAATGAAGACATTCCCGGACCAAAAACGGGTTGATTTCGTCGCGGATGGAGTTTGGGCTATAAAATTCTTCACTGCAGAGGCTTACGGCATTTTCCAGAGTGAGTACCAAAAATGTCTTTTTGAAAACATCTATGGCTTTGAATCCAACGAGGAGAATACAGTTAAGGTTTTTGGCAAGGACTTCATGGCATGGGCAAAGCCGGACTCAGCTGATGACTCCATTTGGGAGGATGCAGTCGATAACTTTGACAAACCCCCCGTGCATGCCTCTCCGGCTAAGCAAAGCCAGTCGTTGTTTGATGAGTTTGAAGAAGCCGTTGATGAAGGAGGAATACAGAGTCTTGCCCTTGGAGCTCTTGATAACAGTTTCCTTGTCAGCGACTCTGGCATCCAGGTAGTAAGGAACTTTAATCATGGAGTTCATGGGAAAGGGGTTTCGGTGAGAATTTCTGGTAATGGGAATAACTATTCCACTCCTAAGAAGGCCCTTCTGATGAGAGGCGAGACCAACATGCTGTTGATGAGTCAAATGAATTCTGCAAAACCCCATTCTAGTGGAGTTGACCAGCTTGATATTGAAACGGGAAAGGTTGTGACGGAATGGAAGTTTGAGAAGGATGGAACAGATATTACCATGAGGGACATCACAAATGATAGCAAGGGTTCACAACTGGATCCATCTGAATCAACTTTCTTGGGATTGGATGATAATAGGCTTTGCCAATGGGATATGAGAGATCGGAGAGGGTTGGTTCAAAATATAGCGAACTCAATGGAATCATCAGTATTGCAATGGTCGCAAGGGCATCAGTTTGCAAGGGGCACTAATTTTCAATGCTTTGCAACAACTGGTGATGGTTCGATTGTTGTTGGTTCTCTTGATGGCAAGATCCGGCTGTATTCAAAGAGTTCAATGAGAATGGCCAAGACTGCTTTTCCTGGGCTTGGTTCCCCTATCACACATGTTGATGTTACATTTGATGGAAAGTGGGTTCTTGGTACTACAGACACATATCTGATTCTTATATGCACTATTTTTAAAGACAAGGATGGGAAGGAGAAGACTGGTTTTAGTGGAAGAATGGGCAACCGGATTGCATCCCCAAGATTATTGAAGCTCACTCCATTGGATTCTCATTTGGCTGGCAAAAGCAAGTTTCAGAAGGGGCAGTTCTCATGGGTAACTATGTTTTCATATTATCTTGAATACTCACTACTTTTCTTCATCATGTAGGATAGGTTGAGGGTCTTATTTTTTATGTATTTTTCATAACTAAGCATTTTTTCTACCTGACAAAGATGATAAAATCACATGATTGAGTGTTTGCATGGAATAACCTTTGATTGTACTTGATCTTATTGTTAGAGCGAGAGAAAGGGGGAGAGAGATGTAGAGAGGAGAGAGAAAGGCTCACGACAAATAGAGATTTGGAAAGGAGAGAGGAAAACTTAGTAAGAGGAGAGAGAGGGGAACATATTTCATTCAATAATCATAATATATAATACATAACTATGAATAACTTTTTATATAGACTTGCCCACTATGATAAATGCTAAATTAGCCCCAAAAAACATACAAACTTATGTGTTTTGAAAATGAATGAAAAATAAGCATAAAGTAAACATAAGAATATAATGCTCTTTCAAATGATTAGATCAAGAAAGCATGACCTTGCTCCAGTTAGGGGTATACTATGTCAACTCTAGTCATGAGATAGCTAAAAAATGGCTCATGTGAAAGCCCAATAAGATAGTGAGTATCTTGAGCTTTCCTTGGCTCAAACCATCAGCTTGTGAGCTACCTCATTTAGAAAAAAAGATATGTTTATATAACAACAACAAAAACAACATAAAACCTTTATCCCATTCTTTGAAGTTGGCTACATGAATCATTTTTCTCTATTGTGTCCTGTTAAGAGTCAAATTCTCATTTAAATCTAATAAAGAAAGATCATTTTTAATATTTTCTAACTAAGTCTTTTTAGGTCTATCTTTATCTTTTTTAACATAAGCCAAATCTAATACATCTACTCTCCTAACCGGGTTATCGGAAGGCTGCCATTTTATGTAACCAAACCATCTAAGGCGACTCTCTCCAATCTTATCTTTCACTGGAACTACTCCAACCTTTCACGTATATGCCAGATACGTTTATAAATACCTAAATTTAGTTAGCTCAATTGCAAAGTTATTTACTTAACTTAAAATATTTGTTCTCTTTGTTTCATTCGGTTTCTCATTTCTTTGCATGATTTTGACTTCAAAGCACCTTGATTGATCTTCAATTTATCTCTTTCATTAGAAGATGGTTCAGATCATGAGCCAACTTAAAGTTGTCCCTTGAACTCTAGCGCAAATTATTGGTTTCAAGATTAAGCTTAAGCCAACTTTGACTCAACGTGTTTACACACCTAGCTCTTGCATTGATTTCATTGGGTTATAAACATTTTTTTTTTCCAAATTCTTGAAACATGTTATAGATAATGGTGGAAGAGGTGGTATCAGAACAGGAATATTTTGCAAAACTCCATAACTTAGATGATCATATACTCTTTAAGATATAAGTAGAGTTAGATAATCATATGCTCTTAAGATATAAGTAGATTTGGAGGCTTAAATGTTTATGGAAAGTATTAGAATTAATTAAGACTTCACTTAACATTTATCTATGTTAGTAACATCAAGATATAAGTAAGATGTCTCTTTATGAACTAGAATCAACACTGGAGTAAAATTTAGCTCGGTAATCACCATCAATTGTCAAGCTTGTGATTATTACATTTGGACACTAGATCCTTAGCAGACCCAATTGTCAAATAGTAATTGAAATCAAAATCTTCCTCATCAAAGAGTGAATTTTAATTTTCAAAATCTTCAAATGGATCATCTTCTCTTGCAATTGGATCTAAAATGTATTTAATAAATTCTTAAAGTTATCTATTGTTTGGGGAGTTGTAGGGTGAGTTATGTAGGCACTTGAGTAATCAAAAGAGTGTATATTTATGTGTAGAATGTGCATCCATTTACCTAGAAATTGATGTGTTGTGTATTTCAATAAATAGGAGAAGGGATTCGCATTTTGTAGTGGTTATCTTAAAGGAGGTTTGCGGCATTTTGAAGAGGTTGAGGAACTCCACCTATTATTCAAACCACCTTTTATTGAGGTAGGTGGTGAGGATAAACTTTTTGAACTAATGTCGCACAATAGAAATTATACTCATGTTCTTACTCGGAGTTGCCCAACTAGGGAGTGAGCACTACAATGTGGCGACTAATAGATAGATACTAGCATGAGCTTAACATCTTTAGTTTTGGAGGCCATAAGTCGCTACTTTTTATAAAGTGGCCATTTAGCAAATGCATATGCCATATATGATATGACCTCATTGAGTTTGTTATGAAACTATGTGTTGGACCGGGTTTGCAGGCGGGGCCTGGACCCGTGCGGGTCTACAGGCGGAGGAAATAAGGGGGGGGGGATTTGGCTGGAAGTGGGACCCCCCACTTAAGTGAGGGTATTTTGGGGATGGGAGGGGATTTTTGAATGGGTATGAAGGGAGCCTTTAGGGTTTAGTTTTTGGGTATTATGAAAAGTGTATTCTCTCTCTTAGTTTCTCCTTAGCCTCCTTCTTGCTCTTTTCTAGGGTTTTCTTGTGAGAGATCTTGTCCTTCTCGAAGTGGACAAACTTATCTTGTTTTCTCTTGGTTTTCTTATGCAAAGGTTTTAACTTCTCTTCTCAACCCTCTTGTGATTGTTTTTCATTGGTTTTGGTGGAGAAATTCCTCTTTTTGGGGGAAAACTAGGACAAAACCGAAATTGTCTAAACCGAAGGTGTATCACTATGCTAATATGATATAAGAAATTTTGTTGATTTCATGCATAAATGCCTTCTCTATGTGATGACAAAAGAACTTTCCTATATATAGAGGGTATTTAGGGGTTGAAGGTTGAGAGTTGAATGAAGAGGAGAGTGGATGAACCTTATTTTTCTATCGTCAAAGAATAGAGGCAGATGATGGAGATTTTTCTTGGTCCTTGAGCAAACTTTGATTCAACTTTTCATCTTGACATTCCCGAGTAATTTCAAACATCAATTTTTTCTTTACAAAGACTTTCATTGAATCATTTTTTATCTTATTTTATATTTTAATATTTTTATTTTGCTTTTTGATTTATTTGTTTATTATATTTATATAAAAGAAGAAAATGTGAATTTCTTTAGTTTACTTTTCGACAAGTTTTAACTAGCGATTAAAATGTATATACAGATAAAGAAGAGAAGCTATTTGAACTAGGGCAAAACTCGGTAAGTTGAGATACGATAGATTTCACATAGTTGTGAATTTAATTTATAAGTTGAGTGCATAACTGTTAATACATGCTTTTGAGTAAGTTGAATAATTTTTCACTTACGCAAAAATTAAAATTTAAGCAACGCCGTGACTCATTCTCACTTGATTGACTTGGACAACAAGAACCAAGCCAAGGGTGGAAAAATGGCGTATCCTTGCTTCCAAGTGAACAAATGAAATATGAATTATGAAAGAATACGACCCAAGCATCACAATGTTTCATCCCATTCCCAAGTGAATCGAACAGTGATAACCTAGCTAAAATGATACAGTCTAAGTAGTATAGATTGTATAGTTCTCATTGTTGCATTTAAGCATGTCGGCGTATTTTGAGTCAAACTAAAAAGTAAAGCTTGAGCTTCAACATGGCTTATTCTTGTTCTTGAATGATCGGTGAGAACAAAGTTGAAATGGAAAAGCAGCTGATTTTTGAGTCAAGCCAAAAAGAATGCTTGAACGCTACTTTGGCTCATCCTTGGTCCTGAGTGAACTAGTGAGAACAATTATGAAATGGGAGCCCATGAAATAATGGGTCATTCTTATTTTCAAGCAAGTCGTCAAACTTTTGGCTTAAGAAATAGGGAAACTTGAAATAATACCATGGTTCATTCTCAATGGGCCTTACAATGCGAACCAAGCCAAAAATTACACTAGCCCGAGTGACATAATGGTTAATGCTTGCTTCCAAGCAACAATTTTTTGGTCAAGCCAATTGGAAAAGCCCAAGCAACACCTATGATTCATCTTTATTCTCGAGGAGTTGGCTTTTGAGAACCATGCCAAATGGCAAAGCCCGAGTAGCATACTTGTTCATCTTTACATCTAAGCAAGTTGGCATATTTCTAATTCAAGCTAAAAGGCAAAGTTTCAACAGTACCAGGGCATATCGTTGCTCTCCAACATGTTGACTATGAGAATAAAGTGAAATCGATAATGTTTGAATAGTGCAATGGTTCATCAATGGATTATTAGCTAAACCAAAATCAAAGTTTGATTGGCATTATTGTTTATCCTTCTTTCTGAGAAAGCCATATTTATTAATCAAGTATCTTAGTTTGGATGTGCAATGACTTTCACTTGTTTCTTAATTAGCCATTGGCTTTCGCATTATTTTTAATTGTTTCCAAAATATTAGTGATCTTAGTCTTAAGAGTCTTTATCCTTGTATAATTTCAAAATAATATGATTTTTTGGATTTAAGAGTGTTAGTAAATGATTCGACACAACAACTAGACAAGAATTTTACTATAAAATTTTTTGTTTGAGTGACCCAATTATTATTCAGGTCGTGTTTGTAGACTAGAAATTGGATTGACCTGAATAAATCAAAATCAACTTGAAATTGACACAATTACTATTTGAAAGTTAAAAACATATTTGTTGAAATAAACATGTATATTATTAAGTTAAGCAAGTAATATTTGAGTTAATTAAGTTGTGTTGATCAAAAAAATTGTATGATCTTGATATGTAATAAACAGGTTAGAGTAGTCGGGTTCAAGTCAAGTCGTGTTCGGTTCAAACATTTTGACCCATATAATAAATAGGGATAGTTTAGGTCACACAAATGCGAGGTTTCAACTTTGAGTCAGTCTTGAACTTAACCTGTCAACTTGAATTGGTAGCCCTAGTTGGTTTGAGGGAAATCCAAAGCAAAATTTTTTGGAGTACCACTTAATTTGCTCTTATGCTACAGCGTATTAAAGAAATATGCCCAAAAAAATCACTTGTAGTACAAAGTTTTACTTCACTTTATCTTATGTCTCCTTTAAGTGAATGAATTTTTTAATTATTTTTTCGCACCCACAATCTTTACCTATATGTTGT